CGGTTTGGGTTTGTTTTATCCCCTAGATATGGGTGAGCAGTCCACACAATGCCACTGGTTACTACACAGTGTATGGAGAGGAAGCACTGCACGCTGATCACTTTACTGCTCGCCTGAGCTTTGGGGACACTCAGACCGTGTGGGCTCGGACCGGGTACCTGGGCTTCCTGCGCAGGACAGAGCTCACTGACGCCAGCGGAGGTGAGAGGAAACACCTTCTACCTACAGCCTGAAACTCCTTGGGATAGCTGAGCTAGCAAAGAGTAACCTTTCCTTCAAGTTTCTCCTGTTATCACAGGAGAGTGCTGAATTGAGCAGGAATTGTTCTATCATTCAGCAGGTTCGGGACACGGACAGATAGCAGTGATTTCACAGCCTTTCAGAATTTAAAGGTCTAGAGGAGAAACTTCTCCATAATTTTTCCAGTATAGAAAATAAATTGTTAATCTTGGGGTTTTTTTTCAAATCTAAGCCGAGATGTCTGAATTTGGGAAATAGGGCAATTTGTCTTAAATCTGCTTACATTTTCTGCTAAAGCAGAATACAAAGCAGGTACAACTCTTGATTATAATATATTAAAAAAAATAAATCTCTGAACATCCTAAGGATGGGAGTTTGAATGCTTCTAACTTATTAGCAAATGTATATTGCTAATTTTCTGTGATTGGAGTGAAACGAATGATGGTGTCTACATGGATAGTGTCAGTGTCCCAACTGCTGCCACTGGATTATAACAGCAAGTTTTTGTGCCTTGTAGCTTTCTGAAAAATTACATGTCCTAGAGATTTTTGTCACCGTGGAACAGTGTCAGTTGTGCTTTAGTTTGTCAGCATTTGCGAGGCTGTGTACAGTGAATTAACATAGCAATATGCATGAAATACAGCTTCCCAGCATGCTTTTCATCTCCAGTGACATGACTGAGCAGAATTATAAAATAGTTCACAAAGAAAAAAGCAAAGTTGAATTGAACAGAGCTACAGAATGTATATGGAGAGTGTCTCCTTCAAGAAGGGCCTAGGAGAGCTTTGCTTATTTAACCTGGCAAAGCTGAGGCTGCGGAGAGAACAGAGTTGATCTCACTGCATAAACTGTGGAAACTCAAGAAGCTGAGCAGAATTTTGCTGGCATGAGGTCAAGTGGGTATAAGCTGGTGTTAAAAACAAAACAAAAAGTGAAATTGGGAAGTTCAAAAAGTGTTCCTGTCAATCAGAGGAGAAAAGTTCTCTGGTAAGTAGGACAAAAAGATACTTTTGGATTTTGATTGGGTTTATGAACTGAGATGACACTACACGAGAGAAGGGACAGAACTGGATGACCCAGAAATTCTTTTCAGTCTGGTTTCAGTTGCTTGGAGTCTACAGGCAGACGTGCTGCTTGAGCTCTTCATTCTCTCCAAATGCTTGATGCGTTATAGACTGCTTTCCCTAGGAAGCACTGGGAACATTTTAGAATGTCAGGAATGAGCACGTACATATGGCCAGGTCTGTCCTGTAGATGTGATGGTGTTTAAATGTGTGTGCTGTATTGCAGAGAGACACGATGCCCTGTATGTGGTGGGCTCTTTGGATGAAACACTGGAGCTCAGAGGAATGAGGTACCATCCCATTGACATAGAAACCTCCGTAATAAGGGCACATAAGAGCATTGCAGAATGGTAAGAACCTCAGCATTGCTTTTCTGTATCCTTTTATTTCTTCTAAAGCAGAAGAACTTGTAACTTCCCTGGCTGTGTCAGAATGTACACATTGTTTACTTGTAAGCTTTGAGAGGTCTTGTCTTTCTTATAATAATCTCTTTTAATAACTAGCTTCCTTTGAGTAGGTATTTTTTTTTCTCCCTGTTAATTACCTGTATCATGCCAACAGTGCTGTGTTTACGTGGACGAACTTGCTGGTGGTGGTTGTGGAGCTGGAAGGCTCGGAACAGGAAGCGCTGGACCTGGTGGCGCTGGTGACAAACGTGGTTCTGGAGGAGCATTATCTCATAGTGGGTGTTGTGGTCATTGTGGACCCAGGCGTCATCCCCATCAATTCCCGTGGTGAGAAACAACGCATGCACTTGAGAGATGGATTTTTAGCTGATCAGTTGGATCCTATTTATGTTGCCTACAACATGTGAAAACGGGAAACCACATCAAGGCTAAAGCACCAAAATCCAAGGGACTTTCCTCATAATAACATCAGAATCCATGTTCTGTGTTTTTAAAAGCTGTTGAAGACCTTAGGAAAACGGAGATACTACTCTTCACAGACCTTCATCTCCCAAGACTGCATTTGCTTTCATAAGTCGATTGTAACAGTTACAGCTGTCTTAGGATGGAGAGTTTACTGGAATTCCTGAAGGAAGCTTATTAGAACTATCATGGACCAATTTTTTTTTTGGGGGGGGGGGGTGGGGTGGGAATAATTATGAATGTCAGTACTTGATGCACTGCATAAAAGGACATAAAGCGGGGTGGGGAGAGAACACCAGCTGTGAGGAGGACTCCTAGAAGTAACACCTAAAGTCGTGAGTAACCATCCAGAGTTCACCTCCGTGTGACTGTTTGCAATATATCGGCAGTTTCGGGGCTGGGACTTAACCTTCAAGATTGCACACACCTCTACCACATTCTCTACTGAAAGGAATTTTGCACATATTTGGAGATTTAATAATGCAGCCTTTTTATTTTAAGTCACTGACTCATCCCTGTTCAGAAGAAACCAATCCATTCCAATCCCGGATTCAGTGTAACAGTTAATGCTGCTGTTCAGCTTTTTTGTACCAAGCAAAAACAAATACTGCAACTGTAACAGTGTTACTTACGGTGCCATGCTGGACTCTGTAATGCTACAAACTTTATAATAAAATACAAAGTAATATCTAGTTTTAAGTACTTGATGCAGGAGCCTTCAGTGTTCTTGCTCTCCTAACTCCACGTCCAAGTCACCTGTTTTCATAGTGTCAGCTGTTAATTCCTGCCCTGCATAACGCCAAGGATTTGAAAATTCATTCCAAAGCCACTAGTCTCTGAATGATTTGTACAGATGTTTACAAAGCATGGGCTTACAACATGTTTTCCCTGAATATCCTGTGCTAAAACTTACAATAGCGACTTTTTTTTTCCCCACCATGGAAAAGCTATTCAGTGTTAGTCAGCTTGAGCTGCTGTGGTACAAACTGTCTTTATTTTCTTTGGAGTTGTATTTAGACTCTTTTGTTCGGGCTAAAATACCCGGTTGGTTGAGTCACAGTTGACTAACTAAGGTTTTGAAGTTTCTGCCTGATCTAATACTGCAGTGAACCTGATGCAGAAAGAGAATAGGAAGTTATTCAAATACTTACTGTGTTTGAAGGTAAGCACGAGACTAGCAAATAATTATTTTTATAGATTTGTTAAAGACTTTGAGAGCTACATGCAATTTTTTTAGTAATGCACAAGTGTGGCAAAAGGGCCAGCTTTTTCTGCAAGGCGATTCTGCCTGGATCAGTGCCTAAGAAAGATAGATGTCAGTCCCCTGATATATCAGATTTACTTATGATTAAATAAACTCTGAAATCTGCAAGAAAAAGCTTTCCTATATAGTAGTTATCTGCCCTGATGGTGTTTACCTGTGGTGTATTATACAGCTGCATACTCCTGACTGTAATTATGTACAGAACCTGTGTAACTTATTCTCTGAGTACAGCAGCCTCCAGCAGCGGGCTGTGGGACACCCCTCCTAACAAAAGAGCTGGCAAAAGGAGAGAACTCCCTAACCCTCATCTCCACGTTGTAGTTTTTTAGCAAATAAAGCATTGTAAGACTTTTGTATTGAGAGATACTGATGACAGTGAGACGAGTTGCCTTGTAAAGTTAAATCTTAAAACAAAAAAAGCTCATTAAACATTTCAAAACAGCTTGTGACGATCTGACTTGATGAATGTTGAAACTTGGGCCTGTTAGATCAAAACCTTGGCTTAGCACAGTTTGCACCTGTGTTTCGGGCAGTCTAGTGCCTTAAAGAGCTTTTTCTGTGAAACTTCAGGGCGGGGGCAGCGAGCCTGGGCTGGGCCTATATGACATCACTGTCATGGGGCCAGCTGTGTATGATGTCACCACCACGGTGCTGGCTGGGCCAGGCCTGTATGCTGTCACCACCATGAGGCCAGCAGGGCTGGGCGTGTATGACATCACCACCATGGTGAGGGTGGGTCTGGGCCTGTATGACATCACCACCACGGTAAGGGTGGTGCCAGGCCAGTGTGACATCATTGCCATGGTGCTGGCGGGGCCAGGCCTGTGTGATGTCACTGCCACGGGGCCAGCAGTGCTGGGCCTGTATGACGTCACTGCCATGGTGATGCTGGGTGGCCTGGGCCTGTATGACATCACCACAGCAGTGCCTGTCTGATGTCACCACCACGGTGCACGTCACATCACTCCGCTAAGCACACACCTGGTGATCTCTGGGCTTCGCTGCTGCTCCACGTGTGGCCGAGCCTTTCCGGGGCCTCTGAGCTCCAGCCCCGCGCAAGGACGCACAGCGAGGTCCAGCCGTGCCCCTGCTTGGTTTGCAGCCAGGCACAAGCCAGAATTTATACCTTCAAGAAACATTGTAAAAGGCACCAGCCCAGGATGAAGAGAGGCCTGATGCCAATCCAGGCTGATGCCGACCAGGGCGAAAGCACTGGCTGGGAAGGAAAAGCCGGAGCAGAAGCAGCAGGACGGAGGTGACAGCCTCCAGCAACATCACCAGGCTCACCCACAGCTGCTGTGGCAGCACGTTGGAAGGCTGTAAAAATCCCTAAAACAGCTGTTGTGCCCTCCTGCAGTGTGGGTCATGGGAGGTAGAGTGTCTGGTTTAATTTTTATCCAAATAAAACGTTGTGCTGCCCCGGCGTTACTCCAGAGCGCGTTTCCGACTGGTGTTCTTCCTCTGACACAAGGTTCAGGGCAAACACTTATTTGGGGCACAGCAGCTGTGTCAGACTCTGCTGAGGCTGCCCACAGTCAGCATGGTGTGCAGAACACTCCGTGGTTACAGGGTGTTCCATCCTGGGAATGGGGCTCTGGCAGGGGATTTTTTCATGTCCTCTGCATCTTTTAACACAGACTTTCGGGGGTTCCTGGCCAAAGCACCTGCTTTTACTCAGATTTAAAGAAGGATAGTTATTTATGGAAACAAATTAAACTGTAGTGTCTTAAATGAAGGCAAAGTTTTTGCTTGAAAAGGCAAGAGGGGTGAGGCACCTACAGAAACCATTTGTACCAGCAGTAGGTTTAGGAAACAGGCAGGAATTGATCCTGCAAAATGTGACTTGTGTTTAAAAGCAGTGCACATAACAAGGCATCTTGGAGCCTTTGCTGTTCTTCCCACTGTTGATTCCAGCAAGGCATTGTGCCTGGCATCCAGAGAGTGCTCTGTGTGACATGCATTTAAAGCAGGAGGGGTTTTTAGTGCCAAAACATCTTAACTCATCTTCCTCAAAGCTAATGAGATCGGGATTCAAAAACCTATAATTCATCTTAAACGGGTATGACATTTGAAATCCCAGCTCGTAGTAAAGGTACAAGGATGATTTTTGTTGTTGTCCTTTGTGGTTTTTTTACCTGATTTGTGGGAATAGAAAATGTACTAAGAAGGGATTCTAAGCCCTGTCTCCTGAAATAATGTGCTGCTGAGGGAATGGGGCAGGAGGGCTGCTGTTGAAGCAGAATGTTTCAGATTTATTCTGGAGTGAGAAACTGGACTCCGGTGAGTAGTAAATAACTTTGTAAACATTAATAAAGCTGCCTTTATTGCAGCAGTGTTCTTTGTGAGCCACCACTTCACACTGACTTTTTAGAAGCTTTATGTCATTTTGGCAGCAGTACTATGAGATTGCTTTAACGCCCTTATTTATTGCTAATTGTTACCCAGGAATTTATTACAGTGGAAAAAAGGAAGCAGTGTTCATTTTAAGTGCACGTTGCAAGCGTTCTGTACCAAGTCCCTGATTATTTTGATGCTGTTTCCCTGCCATTCTATGAAAACAGATACTGTGCACTTTAAGGATCTCTGGATAGGCTTCTGGTTTGGTTTCTATAGAATATCCACAACTCTGTTTTAAGGGCAAAAAGGGAAAGCTTGCACATTTCCCGTATATCAGTGTATCAGGCCAGAAACTGTGTTAGTAGATGATAGAGCTGGATTACATCTAGGAACTAATTTACAGCTGGCAAAACTGCATGAAATAATTTTTTAACTTTTTTGCACTTCAGCATTTACTTGATGCTTGGTATATTCTTGCTTATATGTTTATATTCAGCCAGTTAATATGCTTTAAATATTTATCTGGTCAGATATTTCAAATGAGATGTTTCCAAGCCAGAGCTTCTCGTCATGGCCAGTTCTAATTGGCCAAATTTTTGTGTTTGTATGTAGATTTCGTGTTGGTTTTGTGTTGTTTAGGAGGAACTGGGTACACCAGGTTCTATTTCCAGTTTGGTTATGCCAGTGCCATATAAGCAGAGTTCTGTCTTTTTTTGTATTTCGGTACATGTTCTTAAAATAATATATGTCTTTTCCTCCAGTCATTTCTGGGATTTTTAACCCTATTCTTGCCTGAACATAGAAGTTTTCTTTTGGAAGTGATAAACATTGCTATTTTTCTAGCATTCCTTAAAACTTACCTGGCAAAGTAACTGCAAAATCATGATTTGTCTTTACTTCTGCCAAATGTGAATGACAGTGCTATGGTTGGTTGTGTTCCTTCTCTGGAGTCTGTAAAAGTCCACATCTGATTTATGGAAAAAAACATATTTTGGTTTCCTTCTTAAATTATTTTTCTTGCTGTCAGTATGCAAACTCCGATATTGAATGATTCAGTCTGGATGCACTTCCATCAACAGTTAACAAGATGAAGAATATTTTTTTTTTTTTAGATATGCTAACAGCAACAGTCAGCACTCTCAGTAAGATTAGATCCTGTGTGGAAGAATGTTTTGGGGGGGGGCTGTAAGTACTCTTACAGTGCTGGTAATTTTGTCTCTGATCCAGGGATCCCTTTCACAGATGCACTTCACCTGAAGTTATCTGCGGAGAGAGTAAAAGTGCAGATTCTAATCTCCCGGAGCAAAAAGTAATGGTATCATTCTAAATTCTGAAAATGCAATTCAGCAGAGGTAGACTACAGCATGGATGTACAAAATCTGCCCTTCTGTCAATTTTCTAGCTTCAGAAGTGAATTTGAGTCTTTTAAGCATCTCAAGCCCTTCCTGTTACTGTACTTTCTTCTCTTTGTTTCACTTTTAGAAAGTAGGTCTTATCTTGAACAGAAGTCTGTAATATATGAAACCTTCCGTTGGTGTCCTTCCTGGTGGAAAATTCATTGGCTTCCTCTTTATAGAGAGTCAAAAGCATAACTGACAAATGTGTCCTATGTCAGGTAGGCTCTGCTGGTGTGAAGCTGCTGTTTGATCCTTGGGGGAACCTTCCAGGGCCCTGAGGGTCCCACAGCGCAGAACTCAGAGCTCACTGTCACCAAACCTGCCTTTCTGCAGGCTGTCATTGATGATGGAAACATGGATTTTCTGAGCTCTCCCGACTGATGCAACATCAGATCAATGTAATCAGTGCCTGTGAGGTCTTGTACACACCTCGGGTATTGTACACAGCCCCCTCGTTTGCATGGGGTTTTGTAGGCTGGGCACGGGGCTTGCGCGGTCCGGGGGGGGCCCAGGCTGTGAGCAGAGGTGCTGGAGGTGGCTGGTTGTGGCTGTCCTGTGTGTGTGAGGGGAAAACAGGCCCGAGGGATCAGCAGAGTTGTTGGCAGAGGACCAGCGTTGCCCAAACTGCTTCGCTGGCCTCCCCCACCGTGCCAGTGTACAGCTGTCCCCACAGTCCACGGTCTGAGCTGAGCCACCACCTGTGTCAGAGGGACAAGGAACACAAGGGGAGCAGAGCTGTGAGTGTAAGCTGCAGTGCAGGCTGGGTGATGGTGAGGCCTGTGGCTGTGCTGTCTGTTTCAGGAATTTCAATTTTGCCGGCCCGGGAGGTGTGCCAGGGGCTCAGTAGCCTGAGCACCGCACCCTGCAGCGTTTGCAGTCAGGGTGCTCACCTCACAGGAGGACACATACTCTTCCTCTCTGACAAGAGGCACCAGCTCCACCTTCTCCTGTGCTGGGTGAAGCCTCTCTGAATTCCCAGCAGTGGTGTGGCTGAGTAAGGATCAGCCGTACTGCCAGAAACATGGGTGCAGTCCTGCCGTGTCACTCCCTGCTGCTGCTCTCGTGTCGCACCGGCTCTGCCAGCGTTCAAGCTGCATGTTACAGCTCGCTGCTGCTGCAATGCTGTGCAGAGCTGCTGAACAGGCCTGGTCGTGGGGAAGGATTCCTCATCATGTGAGCGCTGCTGGTGCAGGGGGGCAGAAGGCAGGTGAGATTTGGAGACCCTTGTATGGAAGCATCGCACCCTCAGGTTCAGGCTCCAGAGAGGGTCATGAGTCCTGTCTACCCTTCCCAATCTTGAGGATGCTGTCTGCCCCCATTTGTTGTTGTCACACAGTGCCTCAGCTCCGTACTAGTGCTGAAAACAGTTGAACTGTCTCAAAAAATGAGCGCTACCCTGGGATGGCAAAATGGCTTTTTGTGCCAGGTGAAGTATAAGATGCTGTCTCTTGTATGCCTGACTCTACCTGTGTCCCCTTGCAGAGCTTGGGGGAGACAGGTGAGAGCAGCAAGATGGTTCCTGTCCAAAGACATGTCATTTTGTGCATGAAATCGTTATAAAATGGGGAATGAGGTAAAAACAATGACAACTGTGAGCATCTTTGTCATGAATCTGTCACTGTTGATGTTGCTGGCCAGGAATGCCCAACTCACAGGTGTTGATGAGCTGGACAGCAGGTGCAGACTGAAAAAGGCAGAAGCATAGACTCTGGGGAGGTTGCCCTAGGTTTAGTTTAGGCTTTGTAAGGGCGCACAACTGCAAGCCCCTGGATGACTCCTGCAGAGGTGCCTTGTGCTCCTTTGTCCTCCCAGATGTACCTGCCAGTGTGGACAGCCAGATGGAACATGGTGGTGGTGACAACCTTGAGCTGTTTGGCCAGCCACAGTAACACCAGGGAGGAGGTGAAGGGTCGATGCCCAACAAGAAACCCAGGGCCATGAGCTATAGCAGTGCTTCAGGCTGCATCCTCCAGCCTCCCGCTCTGATGGTGCAGGTCACAAAAGGACACATTTTTCACCAGAGACCAAAACCACATTTTATTTTTGCCATTTCCACACACTCAGGAGGCTGTGCCTGGTCTGTGGTCACACTGGGCCAATCCCCCCATCCCTTCTGACTGAGCCTGGACACCTTACCAAGGCACATCCCAGGCCCAGGAGCTGACCCCAGCCCAGAAGCCTCATACGCTGTTGCTTCCAGTTCTGCAGGCTGCCAAAAGCAGGGAGAATTGATCAACAAGAGGAAAGCCTGGGCTGTTAGATGGTTATGCTTTTAGACAGTTACGCTTTGCCTTGCAAGCCAAGGGTGTCTCAATTTGCCAAGAAATGGGTGGGCTCTACTGAGTCCCTGTGAGGGGCCAGGAGCTGGGTTTCCTGGGTGAATGGCATGCACAGAGCCCACAGGAATCACTGGGAGCCTTCCTGTTCAGGCCAGTGGGCTCAGAAACAGGCTTCCATAACCAGCCCCTCTGCATCACCTTGTCCTTCAGCCCTTAAATTTCCCTTATTCCTTTGCAAGCAAGCTTGGATCATAACGTCTGCCTGCTTCCAGCCCTGGGCATGTTCCTGGCTTGCAACAGCAGGGAAGGAGCTTGAGACAAGGCACTCACATGCTGCCTCCAGCGCGGTGGGCGCTGGCCGATAGGCTTTCCTGAGCTGTACAGGTTTTTCTTTGTTTCACAAAGCTGCAGAACTTATTAAGCTGCTGAAGTCTAGCACAAGCTGAACTCTAAGGAGCCTGTAGTCACACCCACTCCTTTTCCCAGAGGAGTGATGCTGCCTTGCATCTCTCCAGCATGAGCAGAAGGGGCTCGCCTGCTTTCCACCAGCTTACTCGTGCTCAAAGAACTCGTGGCAAGCGGCAGTGACCATGGCAATGAAGGCTACAAACTCCTGGAAGTCGCACTCAGCGTCCCCATCACTGTCCAGTGCCTCCATGACTTTGTCCACAGTCTCTTGGTCTTTGATTTCCTGAAGGGATAGAAATAGGCAGCCAAAGCTGGGGAGGACCAGAGTGGGACCCAGATAGTAACATGTCCCCCCTTCTCCGGTGCTCTCGTGGCTGAATCTCTGTTCAGACACATCGTTTCCAGTCTGTGTTGGGGCACTGCCCTGTGCCTCTGGGAATTGCAGCCACAGCTGTGCTGCTGGGAAGAGACCTCTTGAGCCCCTTGGGGCTAGGCTGTCTCCCCATCTCAGGGAAGGAAATTTCCCAGGTATCCAACCCACACCCCAGCCTGCCATGCAGGCTGTTGCACTTGTCCTGCTGCTCTGCAGAGCTGGAGCAAATGATTTAGCACCCTGATGTGTGGATAAACCACTTCCCCTGCTCTTGCTTCCCGTGGGAGACAGAGTTAGTGGAGTGCGGAGGCTGCTTAATGCCACCTGAGCCCAGCCAGACGAGCTGTGAGGAGGACAATACTTACACTGAGGAAATGGGTCAGCTCATTGTTAATGAGCTCCTTCAGTTCTGATTTCTTCAGCTTGTGCTTGTCTCCCTCCTTGCCGGAGTACTGGTGGAAGGCATCGATGATGGCGATCATGCCCTTCTCCAGCTCAGACATGGTAACGGCGTGGCCCTGAGGTCAGAGGGGGTGATCAGGACATTAACCTGGGCAAGCTCCAGCAGCCACCTCGATCAGCAAAACCTGACCCCGTGCTTAAAGCATTCTGCTGGGAAGGACTGACAGAAGCTCTGGCTTCAGGGGAAAAGCTTATGAGAGACTGTGACTCTGCTTTCAGGGGCTCTCGAGAAACACAGAGCCACAACACAAGGAGAGGGGCAGGTAAGGGTTCATTTTGCTCACAGAGCTTCAGAACAGTTTTGCTGTCCCCTCTGTCACAGGCAGCCTCGCCTATGCCTTTGCCTGCAGGCCTGTCTCCAGCCGAGCAGTCAGGGGAACCAGGCAGGAGCCAGTTTTGATGAGTGCCAGTAGGACGAAATAAGCACCTCTCTAACCTCCCTCCTCCCTCACTTGATCTGGGGACCCTCCTGGGACTGATAATCATTGGGATTGCAGCGTTTCCTGCAGATTTCACAAACAGAGAGACAAACCAAAAAGGGAGAGATGCAAAACCACCTTCCAGAAAGCTGGGAAAAAAACTAATGGCACTCTGTTCGTTCATACCCCACAGGTAAAACGTCTCCAGCCCCGTGACCTGGCTCCTGTTTCTCCACCACAAGGCACTGAATCTCATCCCACCGCCTTATTCTCCAGCTGACTTCCTCCCCCATGCAGCAGTCAGTGTCCAAACAGAAGGACTGTTTCCAATCAGGTAGGAAATTTTCTCGAAGCACTTCATGCGTGCATTCTAAGAGCCCTTTGCATGCTCACGACCTGCCTCCTTCCCCGTCCGCAAGGCTGAGGAGTGTTTCAGCTCCTCACCGGCTCCGCAGCGCTCGGTGCCCCGGCGCTGCCCCCGCCCGGCATCCCCCGGCCTCTCTCACCTCCCTGCTGCCGGCGGGGCTCTGGCTCAGCGATGGGCGCCCCAGGGATTCGCTGCCTTCTTATGCCGGAGGCGGGGAGCCCCTGGAGCCAATGGCAGGCGAAGGCGGGGGTGTCCGGGCCGGGCTCCGGGCCCGCAGTGCTGCCCGCAGTGGCGCTGACCCACGGCCGCCCACGTGGGAGCCGCTGTGGCCCTTTGTCCCTTCACTGTGCACCCCTGAGACTCGCCTGACCGCGTCTTCTCTGCCCCCTCCCCGTGCCTTTGCGGGGCAATCACGATTGTATCGGGCTCTCAGTGCTTGATGGACAGGGCTGGCGGCAGCAGCCGCCCCTCCTGGATCCCTGCTGGGGAAAGAGTGCCGGGTCCGGGGTGTGCCTGCCATACCCCGGCGAAAAGCTGCTTGGAGGGGCCGTGGGTTCTCATACGGCTGTCACTCGTCCAGTGACTGTGACACCACCCTTGTGACTGGGGGGGCAGGAATCTCCTGCCTGCGTGTACCCGCTGTCCGTGTCGCAGCCACGCGGGGGGCTCCCAGGTCCCCTGCCAGCCCCAGCAGCCACCGTTAACCGGCATTATATGCACTTTTGTCTAAACCCAAGAGCTGGAAGTTTCCTTTCCACCAGAGATCCCCCTTTCAGGCTTGTGCACAGACCCGATGGGGGTGACGCTGTGTGGGGACTGGCAGGCAGGCCAGCAGGGAAGGAGGATGTGGAGGGCAGTAAGTGACAAACAGCAAGAGCAGCAAGCAGCATCTTTCACCTAGACTGTTCCCGGTGGCACAGGACAAGCAAATGGTCAATAAACACAGAGAACATGCTGAATGAAGAAAGCAAGTTTCACTGTATTTCATTGCGAAGTCACGCTGTTTCCCAGGAATAAGATGGTATGAGCCAAAGTTGAAGCTGTCTGATGTTACTGTTGTGGCATGTTGCCATTTACACCTTTTTCAGTTCAGCACTCGATCTGGCACTCGATCAGTAACTGCTTTATGTCGGAGGCCTTTGTTGGATTTCAGGCTCAGTGTGACTCAGAACGCAGCACTCCTGCTAACTAAGAAGACGGGTGAACAGTGCCCATGCTGAAGAGCCCATTTTGTTGCCACACTCAGCTCCTGCAGAGAAATGTGGAAAGGGTAAGAGCCTTATACATATGCTAGGGGGGTGGGATGAAGGTCTGGACCTCTTAAAAAAAAAAAAAAGTCCCTTTGAAGAGGCAAGACCAGGTTGCTGGACAGACACATTTCCTGGCAGTTCCTGCGTTCCCCAAATCTACTGAGACACCACCTACCATGTTACTTGAAAACTTTTTCATGTACTGGTGTGAAAGAAACCCATCTACATTGATCATTTGTTTACATCAGCTCATGGAAGCTTTTGTAACAGGTTCAAACACTGGTTTGGGAAAAAATAATTTCCCTAGCATTAAGTCTGAGTATGTTGACTCTAAATATTTATCTGGCCCCTGAAATTCTTGCATTTATGGCATTGCAAACTACACCAGTTATCTGTGCTCTGGTTGGACTGGCAGGGACAGCAGGGATGCTTTTAGGCAATGGTGTTTCTAGTGCAGAGGTAGTTTGTCAACAGTCTTGCACTATTTGATTTTTTCCATGGATATTTGCATTCATGTAAGAGCTGGCTATAAATGGGGCTCTCTGTCAGCAGGAAAGAAACACTATTTTTCTCTGCTGATGGCAATTTGATCTGGTAGATCTGTTAGCTCGGTCCTTAGCCAAGAAATGCATTAAAGCACATAATTTCTAGTCAGAGATGAGGTCCTAGCTCAGCTTCTTTAAACCATTTTCTGATGCCATTCTGGAAAGTGACCTTTCATTAAAATGGAACAGAAAAATTAGCATTTGACAGATCAAAACGCAAACAGTCTTGAAATACCCTTTCCTGATGATTCTTACTGTCCATTTCACCCCCAAATCATTCTGACTTCTCTATTTTACAGGTGTGGTCTGGAATGATCTGCTGCTAAGTGGGAAGGAGCGGTAGGATCAGGTGGGAACACCAAAAACCTTGCTCCTTTCCTGACTCTGCTAATGAGCAGCTCCAAGGGACTTCCCTGATCCTTGTCCAGCCTCATATCCTGGCAAACACTGGTCTCCTGGGTCCTCCCTGACCCAGCCAGTGACAGTCCAGGAGGTCTGGGCATGGGTGGGGGGCTGTGTTTTCAGTGCTGCGCAAAGAGACGCTTCTGTTATTTTAAAATTCATGTCCTGATCTTTGATCAGGAGAGTGTGACCTTGGGGCTCCTTTCCTCAGAGTCAGTGCTTCCTGGCCAGCACTTTGGGCTGATGTGTTTAAAGAAACAAGGGGGTTTTACAGTGCCCAAGGCCGAGCAAAACACTTCAGCCCTCTGCCTGTCTCCCTCTCTGTGGTAAAACACAATGTGGGCTCTTCATACCAGGCTCAGAGAGACAAGCCAGCCTATTTCTTTGTCTCTCTGATGTGTGTGGCGCCAGGCTCTGCCAGACTACGAGACAAAGGCCAGCAGTCATTGAATTGGGAGAAAAAAGCAATGAAAGCAGTGGAATTTGGGTGGGAGGGTGAAGAAGCTGCTTCTGCCTCTGTAGCGCTCACAGTGCCAGCACAGAGAGCAGCGTTGCAGGGAGCAGGTTCCCCAGCTCTGTCCATGGGCACTGAGTCCATGTCTGAAGCTACAAACCCAGCAGCCAGAGGTGAGCTTGTTCCTGGCTGAGTTCAGCTGAGGGCCAGACATAGAAAAACTTGTATAAAAATAATGCTGAGATAACAGCAGTTTGGCAATTATTAAAAATTTTGGAGGCAGGCGGGTTGTATAAAGACAGAAAAATAAATCCAAGAGGTTAATCTTCCACCACGGCCTTTAGACAAACATTACCATAAATTATCTAGAGATTTTGGCATCTGCAAGGAAGTGGAGATGCTTACATGGAGCTCATCTCAGCAGATTCATTATGACAATTCTTTTTGTCTTAAACCAAAAATAAGCCTAGTTTATAAAATAAATACCAAATTAATTCTTTAATTCACAAATAAAATTACTGCATCCTTTCCAAATAATCCCTGAGGTGATGCTGGACATGAGTGAAGAGCTATTTGCTAGCAGAGGAGCAATTTAAATTTGACTTGTAGTGTGCATTATATACTATAAGTATTAAGTATTATAAGTAGTAAGAGACAGGCATGTTTCTGTCCTGGGATGCTGATGGGTGCCACATTTGGGAGTAGCTCTTTCATCCCTGGGCCCCCTGAGGTCCCTAGGAGTGGCTGTGCCAGGCAGTGCACGGACGTGGAGGGGGTTTTCCACCAGCTGAGCTTGATCTGGTGTCACTTCTGTGGCATGAGGGAAGCCAAGTCACTCTGAAAAGCAGCAGAAAGAAATCTTATCACTCCATTTAACGAAGTCCATGATAAATTTGCACCCTCACACATACACAAATTCCCAGCCCTTTCAACACAGCAAGTACAGCATCTCTGGGATTTACACCCCTGTGTGCCTGATGGCGTTTGTAGCTCCTTTTCGGAGCCTTCCTGAGCCGAGGGGCTTTGAAGGGCTAAAAACATGAGCTGGGTACCCAGGTTTGTTATCGCCATTAACGATGGGAACCACTGGCTGGGCTTTGTGGGTGCAGGGAGGTGGGGACAGTCGCTCTGGGGGTTGGCGCTGTCCCCCAAAGGGACGGGAGGGCTGTCGGGGTGTGCAGTCTTGGGCAAGCAGCGCGGTCCGTGTGGCCGGGTCAGACGTTCGGGACACGGGATTCCGCCCCCCGCCCTCAGCCGGGAATGGCGGGCGGGGCGGGAGGAGCCGTGAGGGGACGGCCGGGGGCGGGGCTTCCGCCCGGCCTCGCGCCCCCATTGGCTGCCGCCCGTGAGGCGATGTGGGACCAGGTGGCTCCGGCGCGGCCCCGGCGGCGGGAGCGGGACCGGGATCGGGACCGGGACCGGGACCGGGACCGAGACCGAGAGCGGCGATGGCAGCGGGCAGCGGGTGGGTCCCGGTGGTGGAATCGGGATTGGGCGCGACGGTGGCGGCGGGCAGCGCGGTCCCATGGGGCGGAGCGCGGTGGCGGCCGCGGCTCAGGGTGCCCATGTCCCCCAGGGCGGTTCGGCGGCGGGGCGGCCCTCGGCGCTCGGCGGCGGCCACGGAGCTGCCGGCCTGGCGGCTGCGCTGCGAAGGTGGGCGGCAGCGCTGGCGCTACCTGGGCGATGGCGATGGCGATGTCGGAGAGCCGCGGGCGCAGACGGCGCTGGAGCAGCACAGCCTCGGGCTGGACACGGTGCGAGGGGCCCGGGCGGGGCGGCGGGGCCGCTCCCGGGGCGCCCCGCTGAGGTGCCGCTGTCTCCCCGCAGGGCGCGGCGCTACGGGCGCTGCCGGCGGCCGACTCGGCCCGGGAGGCGGCCCGCAGGGGGATGCGGTTCTACGCGGCCCTGCAGGCCGAGGATGGGCACTGGGCGGGCGACTACGGCGGGCCGCTGTTCCTGCTGCCAGGTAGGCCTGGGGCACCTGCCCGGGGGTGGGTGTGTGCAGTTCGGCTCTGTACAGTGCCGGCCCGTCTGGTCCTCCAGGTCTCCTCATCACCTGCCACACGGCCAAAATCCAGCTGCCAGAGGGGTTCCGGAAGGAGATGATACGTTACCTGCGCTCTGTGCAGCTCCCGGACGGAGGCTGGGGCTTGTGAGTAGCAAAGATGCTTCTTTGAGGGATGGCCTCTCCAAGGTCCAGCACTTGGAGCTGCTGTCAGATGTGCCCAGGCTCAGGGAGGGGGGCTCGGCACCTGTGATAGCTCTGGGTGGTTGGACTTGGTTTGTGCAGCACTTCAGGTACTCTGTTTGTCACAGAGATGGCCAGAGCATCAAGTCTGGCCATATCTCCTCTGTGTCACTATATGCCAAAGCATCATGTGCAGAACAATGTTTCTTCCTGGATTAGTTGGGTCCCCCTTTTTCACAGTAACCCCCGGCATTCCACTTCGCCCCGACATAGACAGCCCTGCGCAGTGGGTTATGTCTGGCTAATGCCAATAGCTGGCTAATGGCCGTGGTGTCTCTGTATATGTGCCTGACAGGCATGTGGAAGACAAATCAACGGTGTTTGGCACAGCACTCAACTACGTAGCACTGAGGATCCTGGGGCTCGGACCGGATGACCCTGACATCGTGCGGGCCCGTGTCAACCTGCACAGCAAAGGTCAGCCATGGGGCTGGGACACTGGTCAGAGAGGTCTGGCTGGACCTGAGGGCTACATGGAACATGAAGGGCAGCATAGAACATGGGGGGCTTCCAGGTAGTGGAAGTACTGTTGCTCTTGCTTGCCCTTGGTGGCACCTGTGTTTTCAATTAGTGGTGGGAAGCTGTGTTATGTTTTTGTACCATTGCCTGCTTACCCTGTTTCAGGACGTGTGTCCCAGCCTGAGTAGTGTGTTCCCAAATATGGGGAGAAGTGGGCCCTGTGATGGGGAAGAAAGAAGGGAGCTGGCATGGCTGCGTTAACCCTGTAAGCTGATACTGTTCTCTGCAGGAGGTGCTGTGGGAATCCCTTCCTGGGGCAAGTTCTGGCTGGCTGTCTTGAACGTTTACAGCTGGGAGGGAATGAACACGCTTCTCCCGGAGATGTGGTATGTGCCCCCCTCGCTGTGGAGGGAGGAGATGTTGTCAGTCCTACCGCCAGCCTCGACCCAGAACTGTCTCAGGCACTGGTGTTTGCTGGGATAACTCCAGCTATGGTCTGGAACTAGAGGTGGTCAGGCTGCTTGTCAGCTGGGAACCAGCAGCAGGCCGGCCAGTGGGTGGATAGCACTGAACTCTGCACCCAAGGGAGGTGCCAGAGCTCAGCCCAGTTAGCATTACCCACAGGATCCCTGATACATCTGTGCACTCCCTGCCTGTCACCAGTATCTTCTGGCCAGCCAGAACTGGGCCTTTAGCAGAGGGGACAGCCACATGTAAGGCTACCAGCCCTAACCCTCACTTGTACCCTCTCTGGTTACTCAGAGGGCTGCTGGGTGTCAGAGAGGGAAAGTGTGTGACATTACCTCTGGGGGAAATCAGGGGCTGCACAGGACCAAGGGCTGCTGGTGCTTTGTCATCAAATGCCAGTAACTGTCAGTCTGGGCCTCTGCCTTCAAAGTCCCACGTGACTGAACTGGCTTCTCCCCTCCCTCTTCTCTGAGCTCAAGGTCCTCCTTGCCCTCTGTCATCTGGGCCAGGAGCAGTGTCTGCTGGCCCTGGTGTGGAGGGAGCACCCCTGCTGGGGGGATCTCAGCAGGATCAGGCTGTGTTTATATCCCCTGGTGCAGGGGACAGGAAAAGGTGTGCCCTGCTCTGGGAATTCCACACACCATCTCTTCGTGTTGCCTTAGGCCCTCCTTGTTCCTCACAACCTTCTCTGTTGCAATCAGGCTGCTTCCCACGTGGTTCCCAGCCCACCCATCCCGGCTCTGGTGTCACTGCCGCCAGGTTTACCTTCCCATGAGCTACTGTTACGCCAAGCGTTTGTCAGCAGAAGAGGATGAGCTCATACGGAGCCTGCGGCAGGTAAGGAAGGAGCTGATCCTCCTGGACAAGGATACATGGCTCCATGACTGCCTGCTGCGCTTGGCCATGTCCTTGTGCGCCGGCCTCTGGCTTGCGAAGCGGCATCTCTTATCCCTGCGTGGTCACTCTGTCAGACAGCAGAGTAACTGCTCCTGGGTGCTTGCTCCCAGCTTTCCAGGCTGATGCCCTGTGTTGTCTCGTGCCAGGAGCTGTACGTGCAGGACTATGCCAGCATAGACTGGCCAGCGCAGAGGAACAACGTGGCTGCCTGTGACGTGTACACCCCGCACAGCTGGCTGCTGGGTGCTGCCTACGGTGAGCACGGGGGGCCCTGTCCCCTGCCACTCTCTGCTGCTGCTCGTGTAGCTGAACCTGCCTTGCACCATGGGGGCTCTTCAGGGTCTGCTGGCAGCTACTGCTGTATGCTCTGGAGCTGGGATGGAGACATGGATCATGTGATCCACGGGCTTCTCCCTCCCTGAGAGCATCAGGGCCTTGTGCCCAGGTCCTCGGGCTGCTCTGGGGCAGAGCAGTTCTACGCTTTCCTCAACTGGTCGTGGTGTGAGCCAGGGTGCAGCCTGCCACAGCAAGTGAATCTGGCTGCACGGGGTGGGTTTTTGTTTTCATTGCATGTCCCTTTCTTCTCCTGTAGCCATCATGAACATGTATGAAGCCCACCACAGCACTCACCTGCGGCAGCGAGCCATCACAGAGCTGTACGACCACATCAAAGCTGATGATAGATTCACCAAGTGCATCAGCATCGGACCAGTAGGACACATGCTGTTAATCCTTTAAATATCTCGCCCTTTGTTATTTAGGGACCAGCTTGTGCCCTTCCCCAGAGCTTTGCATTTGTGGCATGTAACCAATAATCACCAGATCTTGCTTAACTCCTGATCTTTAAGAGTGTAAGGCCAACAGGGCACAGGAGATGCAGAGAGCATGGGGATAGCTGGTGAGGGGTATCTGTCCTTGAGGTCCAGAGAAATGCTGTGAGGAGAAGCTCTGGAGTAATGTCATGGCACCTGCCCCACTAACTCAGCTATGCTGGGCGATGGAGCCATTGGGATCAAGGCTGGGACAACCTCTGGATGGCTTTGTGCTGGGTGGGAGGGATCTATGTCTCTGGGGCTGGAAGGAGCTCTGTCCAGAGCAATGACAGTTCTCCTTGTGGCAGATTTCCAAGACGATCAACATGCTGGTTCGCTGGTTTGTGGATGGGAAGAACTCCCCAGCTTTTCAGGAGCATGTTTCCAGGATCCCGGACTATCTCTGGTAAGGGCTGAGTGTGACCCTCCTGGCACGGCACAGGGCTCTGATCCCTGTGGATTAAGCACACTGGGGCTGCCGACCTGCTTCCCGCTGTGCCTGTGCTGTATCACTGTGCTCTCTCCTCCCACAGGCTGGGCCTTGACGGCATGAAGATGCAGGTGAAGTGCTGTAGGAGTTCATCTATGACTGAAGGGACCATGGCATGCTGGGGCAGCCCATGGAGTAATGGGATAGCGTGTTCATCCCGAGCCTGAGCTCCTGGCACCTCACCTCTGGTGCCTGATGGCCTTCTCTGTCTCACTGCCACTTCCACCAGCTGTGCCAGGAGCGAATAGTACCTGTCCTGCTAGTTTGCCTCTCTGTGGCTGTGAGCTGAGGGGGCAGCTCTAGGCCTCCATTTCCTTCATTCCCACACGCTCTGGGAGAAGGGAAGAAGAAAGCCAGGCCCCTGATCCTGCATGTGGTCTGAGCTCTGCTTCTCTCAGAGCCGTTGTGTCCTGCTGCTCCTTAGCGCTGGCCAGAGCTCCTGCCTTGGCTGTGCACAGAGCAGGCTGAAGCAGCTGTCTTATTTCCTGTTCCCTTGCTGTCCCTTTACCTGCTGCATCTGTCCCCTCTGTGCCAACATATCGGCTGTGATGCTGAATGGCATAAAACTGAGACACAGGGTGGAGGCAGCTAGTGGGTGTGATGTGGGAAGGATATGCTGCCCCATAGACCCCACATCTGGGTCAGGGTGCTGGCTAGCACCTGCCTCTCACTGTCAACATTCTCTCTTGCAGGGCACAAATGGATCCCAGCTCTGGGATACTGCCTTTGCCATCCAAGCCTTCTTGGAGGTAATGCACCCTGCAGTGCTATGTGCTGCCTTGGGAAAATGTTTTCCTCTCACATGTCCC